TGTCTCTCTCTGTCTGTCTGGCGAGCACATGCGCCCTATGGTGAAAATCTCTCAAAAACAAACAAACAAACAAACAAACAAAAAAAACTGACTCCAGGCATTAAAAAAAAAAAAAAAACTACCAATAGATGCAAAACTCAATGGGCAAAAGTTAACAAAACAGGATATTTGCATATTCTCAAAGAAATGCCCAAGGTAGTTTTTAATTTCAGAGAGAAAAGAAGTAATTTTACAGTAGAGAAGCCCATCAGATAAAATGTAAACCAGGTGAGCATGATTAACCATGAGACATGAAATCATGTGCCCCTTGACATGACCGGAGGAGATGCGAGGAGATATAACCACAAGGTGCATGCCAGTCTTGATCCTAGTACAGAGGACATTTATCTAAAACTGAAATTCAAATTAGGTCTCTAATTTAGTTAATAGTATTTTGCTAATGTTAATTTCTTGGTTTTGATCAACACACTATTTTGTAAAATGTTAACATTGGGAAAATTGGATGATGGGTGTGCCCTCAGCAATGCTGATATTTTTGCAACTTTTTTTTTCCACTAGAGGGCGCGTGTGCATGCCAGAAAGAGGGAGAGGAGAAAACACCACCTCCTGTGGAGAACAGTCACACAGCAATCTCTTCTCCCTTCTTTTTGGGATTTTGGACATGCACATATGTGTGCCCAGCATGTCTCTCAAGCTGCCAGTTCCAGGACTAGAACCATACAGTCAGCCATATAGGATCCAGCTACCCTAACTACTAAGCCATGAGGAAAGTTTGCACTTTTCTATAAAACTAAAAAATATTTCAAAATTAGAAGTCAAGGTGGGGGACTCTGCCCCATATTGATGGTCTATAAAACCCTCAGTGTGCTGCCAGCGGGATCCAGCTACCCTAACTACCAAGCCATGGGGAAAGCCTGCACTTTTCTATAAAGCTAAAGTATATTTAAAAATTAGAAGTCGGGGTGGGGGACTCTGCCCCATATTGATGGTCTATAACCCCGAGTGTGCTGCCAGCACGATGCGGTCTGGATGCACCACATACACCCAGGAGACAGTTAACAGTGCATGTTCCACTCTTCAAAATAACTCAGTCTCTTGCTATCAAGAGGTCAGAATATTAAGACCTTTCAGAGGCCTAGGGTAATGTGGTGCTGGTGATATTGTGACCACCATATTACATTTTTATCAGTTCCCTTTGATATCATTACCTACTTCAGCCTCTTTACTGAGTATCTGAAAGAGCAGGGCAGGCTCTCCCAATAGGGTAAGTTAGAACAACACACAGTCCCTCACATCTAAAAACAAGTCTTTATCTGAGTTTGTGGCTGCACAGCACTCAATAAATGAATTATCATTTTCCTGGAAATGTGGTAGTGGCAACTCCTTCAGATTTCCCAGGAAAGAAAGTATTCAACAAAGTCACCATCGATGAACCGAATGAGAGCTCCAAAGGACTATGCCTTAGCTGGGTATTCATCTTATCTTTCCTCCAGGTAATCCAGCCAGAATTTTCAGATAAAGCTAACAGATAAGCTTCCATCCAATTCTCACTTTCCAGGGAAAACAACCTTTGTGGTTTCTCCCTGCAGCAGTCATGAGTCATCTGAAAACAAGGAAGAAAGCTACCAGAAACTCTCCTCAGGCTGAAACAGGTTTGCCAAGATCAGAGTACTGGTCATTCCTACACTGCTTCACCAATCACTTACTCTTTTTTCCTCTATCCCTCGTTCATCTCATCTCTCCCTCCCGCACTGTGAATTTCAAGGCTCAAGCTAACCAAGAAGCCACTGCTTTCCACCCTGGCTTTCCAAGAAGGACCCTTCCTGCTGCTGGTTAGTCATGGCTGGTGCTGGGAATATGCCATGTCATATGCCAGCACTCTCTCCAACCCAGGTCTCCTTGACATGTGCTGTCTTGTGCTGCTATAATAATCTCAAAATCTAATAACCTGAAAATTTATCCCAGAAGCTGGCTCCATTCAATCCAGCAACACACATACAGAAAAATACGCCTGTCCATAGCTCTTCTGGGAATACATGCCAATCCCCTTCCTCCTAGTTTACCTTCCTCATTGAACAGGGGTTTCATATTAAATCATTCTGATAACCAGGTGTAATCTGCTTGGAACATCACGATCATTTAAAATTCCATATATACTTAATGCCTCTTAGACTGCAGTGTTGAAAGAAGGTATAGTTAGAGTCACAGTTTTGGTATCTCTAGGACTGGGATTATTGTTCTGAACAGCTGTTAAACTTGTCACTTGCTTACGCATTTATTAAAAATAAAACTTACTCCATGTTTCCTCAATGTAGACACAGAAAACTAGCATTTCCAACACTACCAATATATTCCTTTTCCTGTTTATTTGCTCAGATTCTTAATCTTTTTTTAACCTCAAAATAAAAATTTCAATTATTTAAAGGCAACTAAAATAATAAAAAATAAAATAATTCTTCTAGTTTGTTTTAAAACACAATGTAGAATTTTACATTTTTTATGGTTTTCATCATAAAGATAAATCATTACACAAAGGACTATTTAAAAAGTCTTGTTATTTGAAATTTCTAGCTAAATGGGTTTTTTAATGATAAGTATTGACTGTACATAAGAACTGCATTAATAAAACTACTGAAAATTACCCAGTGACCTGAAATTACCCAGGGTTCAGGAAGATGAGTCTCTGTTGCTTGTCCTGCCTGAAAAGCTGCCTTTGTCTCCATATATAACCTATTTCTAAGTCATCTCAGTAGTTGTCATGCAATGTATTAGGAAAAGGATATTCTTCCCCAGTGCACTTGAAGACTTCCATTTTACCTGTATCTACTTCACAGCCTTGAAATATTAAAGATTGTCAAGAATGCACAAAATTGGAGCACAACATTAAAATATTTGCACAGAGATATTTACTTTCATATCACAGAAAAATCTCCAACCAAGGGCCATTCAGGATAAGAGTCCCTTTTACCAGGACTCTCCTTGGGTGCCCAATGAGTCTGCCAACAGTGGACTGGCTTTGCAAATAGACAATCCCTCAAGTTGCCAGTGGAGTACATACAAATCCACATTCTTGCTCCTAACCTCTATCTGTTCTGATATTTATTCTTTAGTAAAGAACATTCTGGTACTCTATACTTAACTAAGTCCCAACCATATCCCTAACAAAAGAAATGAGACCTGGTTGGTGCCAGGGGCAGGGTGCTTATCTGCAATGCTGGAGCCCCGTGTCTGTCTGGGGTTCATGTCCCAAGCTGGCCCTGAGTTGGCCTCAAATGTACCAGGCAAGTGCTTGTCTAAGATCCCAACTAGCTAGAAGGATAGCAGGAGGGGATCTATCTCATATATTCTCTCTTTCTGTCTCTCTCACTCATGAGAGAAATTTTTAAAAAAGAAATAAGCAAACAAAAGAAACAAGCTAAAAGTTGATAGGGAGACTTGCCCTAGTTATTTCCACGGGAATGCAAGGCACTTTTGCAAACATCATTTCCTTAAAAAGTGGGTCCTCCAATGAGTCCCAAAACATTAAGACTTAGGGTCACAGAGCAGGGGAATTTACTGTGTGTGTGTGAGAGAGAGTGAGAGAGAGAGAGAGGGAAAAAACTAGTAGTGACTAGGGAGAAAACAGTAGTGTTTTCCTATATGGTAGTCATTGTACATTTTACGTATAATCTACCACGGTAAGATTTTAGAAGTATATTTATGAAATATAACCCTTACAGTTTCTCCATTTGAAGGGATTAAGAGTGCTATGCACATTATCACAGACTTCAGAAAAGAAAAATAAGCTTTGAAGTCTTTGGCAAGTTTATAAAGCAGTTTATACTTATTTCTTCTTAACTTTCATAGAGCTACAAAACATCCCAGCAACTATCTAATCCTCTCATTTTAAGGATGAATCAGTGATGCCAGGGAATTCAAATAACTACCTGATATCTAACAGTCTTATTCCAATTCAAAATTCCTTCTACCATAGTTCACCTTTATCTCATCCATTATAAATCCTCCAATTATTCATCATAGAAACCTCTTTTATTTTGGGAATAATAAAGACAAAATATTAACACACATATAACAATTCCAAACTGACAGGTTTAATGATAATTAAATATTTTTATGTTACAAAATGGTAACTGAGGCCCAAGGAAATATATAGCTTCTATTTAATTCTCAGGGCAAATTCTGAGGACAAGGTAAAAAGTCGTTATCTCCTAACTGCTAGCTAACAGTTCTACACACCACAATAGTCCCTCAATTATTCTCAAACACTTTTTAGGAATTTCACAAAGAAGCCAGTTCCTTTTTACTTTTTTCTGTTCAAAAACATATTCTATATTTAAGCTGCATTTTTGAGGGCATTAGAAATATTTCAAATGTTTAAAATTTTTACTCAAAATCACTAAGCTCGGGGCCCGTAGGTGGCACAGTGGTTAAAGTGCTGTATTCCCACATGGCTGACCATGGTTCAAGTCCCAGGCCCAGAGGCTAGAAAATCATAAGGGGCACATGTGTGTGTGCCCAAAATCCCTAGAGGAGAATGGAGAAGGGATTGCAACACGGCCATCCTCCCTGGGGGATGACTTTACTTTCCCTCTCACTGTCTCCATCTCCTATGAGCACATATGCCCTATGGCAAAAACCTCACACACACACACACACACACACACACACACACACACACAGTGGTTATGTAGTGCTCTGCAATGCTGAAGCCACATAAGAAGGTACTAGGCTCACGTCCCGAGGTCTCCCTGCACACACTGGGTATGCGTACCTGCCTGTGATTTCCTGGCTGGCTGAGGCTAGGTGTGGATCACAACATGAAGACCCAGTGGGGACAGGTGGGGATATGTAACCTCCTTCCCCTTTTCTCCACTTCTCAAGAAATAAATAAATTTATTAAATTAAAACAACTAAGTTTATGTTACATAAATGTTATTAAAGCACTGTGACCATTCACCCTATTACTAAGTAAAACATTAATACAAATAAAAATAACTTACCAAGAACTGTCAGATGAATCTTCTTATTTGCAACACCAGGAGCTTTCTTTACTTTGCACTGATATAAGCCAATATCTGATAACTGTAAATTTGTTACATTTATTGATGCATCACCAGATTTGAGATCACTACTTGTAAAATGTACTCGCCCTTTCAGATCTTGATAGTAGTTATCATAAATTTTGTCTCCAGAATATAAAATAATCACTTGATCCACCTTCTAATTATCTGCTGGTGACAGCAGTCACTCAATGTCCAGTGGTCCTTGGTCTTCAG